ATTTTAGACCTATAGTTTTTAATGCAACTTTATAGTTTGAATAATGGATTATAACTTTAATTATTATTAATTTGGTAATTAACTTGTAAAAATTAATACTTGTCTTAAGAGTAAAAATTTTTTCTAGCTTCAGAAACATATAAAATTTTAGAAAACTTAAAAAAAATTTTAATAGTAAACCCTAATATTACACAAACTTTGAACTTTAATTAATTAAAAGTTTTTAATAATTTTAAAAAATTTTCTTAATAACGTTAATAAGGTAATACAAATAAAATTAACTGGTTTTTATATCCGGCCGGGTCCAAAAATAAAAAAATTTGAAATTTTTTTTTATGCCGCAACAAGTGGATAGCCAATCAAATCACATTATTTCATACATGTAAAATTAGTAAAATTAGACTTTAACAAAAGTAACAACTTTAACAAAAACTACTTTGCACAGCCAATTTATTTATAAAGACTAATAAAAATAAAAGCTATAAGTAATTTATATATTACACAGTTCTGCGCTATTTTTCTTTTTATTAACACTTGAATGCCATTTATCCCATTTTTTTGATAAAGTCTTTCCACCACACCCAATGCACAATGGCTATTCATTATTTAATATTTTTGTTATATTTCTATTACTACACAAAAAACACACCACAGGAAATATTCCAGCTGAATAGTAAGGCTTTTCGATTGGTGAAGTACAACTTCAAGAATCATTTACAAAAACTTGCTGGAAAAGCTTATAGATAGGATCTTCCATAGAAATTTCTTTTGATCTAGCTTTAAATATTTCTTCATTAATATTTCCTTCATCCTTTTCATTAATATCCCCTTCATCCTCTTCATTATTATCCTCTTCATCCTCTTCATTAATATCATCTTCATTCTCTTCGTTAATATCTACTTTATCATCTTCGTTAATATCCTCTTCATCCTCTTCATTAATCTCCTCTTTATCTATATCCTCTTCGTCACTAATATCTATATTTTCTATATAAAGGCAATTATATCTAGCAATCATATTGTCAGCAGCATTATTGCTTAGTAGGTTGTCACTTAATTGGTCATCACTTTGTCAATCATCACTTGGTTAGTTATTTGGGTCGTTATTCTGGTAATCATTACTTTCATTAATTTCGGCAGGATTGATTGATTTGGTAGATGCAAGATCACAGGTATTATGAAATGACATTCCGCATATATATAAAATAGTATCAAGAAAAGATTTTAACAACTTGCATTCTTTTAATTGTAATTTCTTTGCACTAAATTACAGATGTGGCTTCTCACAATCGGCACAAACAACAATGATTCCAACATTTTTTGCATGTATAGAAGAGAGGCTGAATGGCATGGTATATTTCATAGTAGCTTTTGTTTTATCTGACTTGGTAGTTCGTAATTTAGCATCTTTAAGTGAGAGCCTATATTTCTCTGTTGTGGTGGTGCCATATAATTCTTCGAATGATTTATAATGAAGGTCTTCACCGGGGTTGGGTCAGGAATGTAATGAAGTTGTTCAAATTCCTTCTAGGAACAGCGAAGTGGTAAGCAAATCGTATATGCTTCATCCCAGCACTTTTTAATAGTAAAAGAATAATGTCTTATTCTACAACAGTGTTTTATGAATTCTTTCAACCATGGCTGCAAGAAGACAAATATTAATATTATTCATATGATGTACTGTGACTGATGATGAAAATTGGGATTTTATATGAATATATAACCATACTAAAACCCCGTATATGAGTATTGCCACAGGAAATCTATCACTGAGGTTTCAAGTTTATTGCTTACTGGACATTTTGTTTGATTTTTTATGGATTGTGTCTGGTAATTTATAAATGAAAAAATCCGGTGGCAGGTTTTTTTTGGCAGCACACATTTATATAATAAGAAAAAAAAAAAGGAAAAGAAAAAAAATAAAAAAAATAAAAAAAAATAAAAAAATAAAAATGAAAATTATTTTAACTTTCAATATCAGTTAGCTTTATTATTAACCACTACATTATGTTTATTTACTCTTTTTGCAATGCTTTCTGTTGAACGATCTTGTTGAGATACATTATCATCAATTAGATAAATTGTTTTCTACAATTCCATTATTTCATTTTCAGTTGCCGCATCAAAGATTTCAAAAGGTACTTCCTTTAAAGATTGATGTTCAAAAATGCTACAGATTAGGCAAATCGGTTGTTGGACACTTTCGATAAAGGCATCTTTCAAGGTAGAAATATTTTCTGCCATATGTCGAATTGCTTTTATTGTATTTGCTTTGCTTATTAATTTTTCTAACTTATCACTCATTTTATCTCTCATTAAACCAATGCATTGAAGCCCAAGATTTAAGATAGATTATGTGTTCTACAAGATTTTTCTATGAGTGTTGAGGTGGTGTTTTTACAGCAATAAAATAGTCTAGATCTAAAGCTAGAAATAAGCAAATATATGACAGTTGCACACTAGCAAACGTACAATGATAGTCCAGGCCACCATCTGTATAAAGACATAAGACAGGTTTATTGATAATATTTTTTTAAGGAGGATATTGTATAATTCAACTGCATGGCATATTGGTGAGGAAGGTTGAAAAATAGCATTTTTTAATCTAATATGAACATCTTTTGTATAAAAATCACCATCAACTGACTTTGGGATATCGCATATCATTATAACACTTGGTATTATTCTGGTCTTTGTATAGTTATAATTTCCAACCATCAATATTGATTCTTTACTAACTACAACTTGCTTACCTCTCTCTATAGCAACAACTAGATACCTGGGTTCTTCAACTTTACACCTATGCTTGTCATCTAAAAATACTAATATTGTAATTTTATGAAATTTTGTAGCAAATTCTTTTTCATACCTAAACAATGCTAAAGCATAATATGCATCAGGATGATAGACGTGAAGCTGCTGAACTTGTATCTAGTATTACAAATTATCAATTGATTAATTGTTATTTTTTTAATTGACAACTAATCGATTGAACTATCTATGTCAAAATCCTGAAAGAGATTTTGACCTAAGCCCGATTGAACTTTTAGATATCAACTAATCGATTAATTGAAATCAATTAGTTGGTATCTAAAAGTCAATTGATTAGTAACACTGCTTGTACCATAAATTTTAAAGGTAGGCATCCAGTGTATTGCAAACTATTAAATCATATTGGGTTTTTAGACCATAATTGTAAACGAAGCCATTGTGTACTTGGAATTGTGTATTTGAAGAACATTCATTCTTGATTTGATTTAATAAATCATTAATTGAAATTGCTGTTGCTAGATAGACGATTGTATCATGTTGATGTTCATCAACCACAGTTACAAATTCCACTGCTTTGTTTGAAAGAAAGTCAGCTACTATTTCCCAAAAAACCTCAAATTTACTTGATCTTCCAGGATTGTGTTCACGAAAATCAATTGTAACTTCAGAATCTTCTAATTCAAGAGTTAGTTTAATTCTTTCATCTATTTTGGCTTCATTTGCAAATTCTGGTGTCGAAGAATCCTCGGTTAAAATACGATAAATAGTGCAAAGTGCTGCAGGTTTAACTCTTGGTAAAAGTAAGTCACAAGTATAAAAATAATTTTTTCTTATTGCACGGGTGTAATAGTGAGAAGAATGGGCCTGAAGTTCATTAACTATATTAGTGTTTTGTTGCATCATCATGGTTTCATTAGCACCTTCATCGATCTTCCAAATTAAAACTGTATTATATGCATTATTACTAGAGGTAAATCAAAATTCACCAAGTTTAAAAGTAAATGCTCAAGATAATCTCTGTATATAATGCATTCTTGAACTAAAAGAGTTATGAGATTAATTATTTATTATTACAGATGTTGAAATTTAGGGTCTCTTTAAAAATATAAATATTTCTAAATCCACACATAAGAAATAGTCTAAGAGAATCATTGTTTGAAAACAAACAGTGGTTTTCCTAGTCTATTTCCCACATTCCTATACTTGCTGGCAAAACCTCAAGAGTTTGGAACTTGAAATTTTGGGATGATTTTTATTATGTTTGGGATTGAGATTTTATTTTAGTTTGGGCAGCAAGTATACATATACTCTATTATTAACAACTCTAGCACTCAATCCTAACCTAACATATATATGATAGTGTTATATTAATTGTCATAGCTAAAGCTTGAATTTTAATTATTTTAATATAAAATTTTTAGAAATTTTTGAGATACATTTTTCAAGCTTTTTTTTAATAGTTAGGTTAGGGTTTAGAGTTAGTTTTGATAATAAAAGTGTATAAATAGATTTTGGTAGAGCCTATATTTTTTAAATTGAGGTCCCTGATTTCAAACTTCAGCTGTTTCAAGTTTTAGCCGTGACATTAATTATTAACAATTATCATTTTTAGATTTACTTACACAGGATCTGTTGGTAGGTAGCTTTCAATATTAATTGGTATCTATAGAGGTAAATCTTTAAGTTTATTTTCTAATCAATTATATTTGATTTTGTCATTTGGTATTATGTGAGTATTGGCTTTGTGAATTTTAATTGTTATAGCCTGTTCTATGCTTCGAACTGGTGTTATTGACACATAGTTTTTCATTGTAATTTTATTTTGCTGTTTTAGAAAGCTAATATAATTTAAAATAACAGTAATTAAGAGATTATAGGGCTCATGAAGCCAATTGAATGATGGTTTTAGTATCCACTATGATGTGGTGTGTGATGCGAATGCTTGACAATAAAGATTTAATTCTATCACGTTAAAAGGTTTTCTAGATTCTTTATATGATTCTGGGTTAGCATAGCCAAAGAACCCCATGAATAGCTCTGGAATATGATAACTATATTTCTTAAATTTTAAGTGATCATGCATATCAATATACCAAATTGTATCATACAAATAACTAACAAATTTTTTTTCTTGTATATTAGCATTCTCAATTGAAGACCACCCCCCACCGTTTTGACGAATCTATTCGATTATATCATTATATAATACTTGTTTATTGTTTAACCTTTTATATTGCAAGGGGCCTGGCAAAAAATTTTTTTTGAGTTTGCATAAGAATTTCTAGTGCATTTTGATACAATGCTAAATAAGAGATTATGATATCACTAGTTTTAAGATGATAGTGTATGTTTAAACCAAATGCTTTAGTTGATTCTATTATTTCACAATGAGGGCTAGCTTGAATGGTTGTTGCACCTGCATCTAACATTTGGCTTAATTCAATATGATCGATTGTTTCGGAGAAGCTTACGAAAATATCACACCCTGGAGATATTTCACCTATAATGAGTTTATCAAAAAACTCTTTAATGGTTATTTCATATAGTATTGGATGTGCATACCAGCCATGGTATGTTTTTGACCCCTTTGAAATATAGATATTTGTGATTGGCATTTTTTATTAAGTACAACTTTACAAGTATATTATAATTAAACTGACCCTTTTATTATATATTTGTTTTCTTTATAGGTACATACATTTTATTTACTGTAAAACCCAAAATAATACGCATGAGTGTTATTTGATGGTACATAATAATTGATAATCAAGTTATACAAAGAAAAAAAAAAGTGCGAAATCTCAACCTGCAAATAGCATTTTCTGGTTTTTGGATAAGCATTACAGATTTAATAATCATATTTTTTTTTCTCTTAAAGTTCTATTATTATATTTTTGTTGTATTAAAATTCATTGATTAAGTTTTATGTAATCTCTGAGGCTAAATGTAAAAAGTGAAGTTCAAAAAACATTGGTGGATCTAATTCCAAAAAAAAAAAAGAATGATAATTTTTTTATTGCATTTTTCTTAAGAACGTTAAGACTATAGAATTTTCGATGTGCATTAAACATTAGCAATTTTCTTATAGAAGTTTTATATAAAAATTTATACAGGTTACCATCTTCTTTAGAACTAATAAGCAAGTTTAATACAAAGCAAAATCATGATCTGGAAAAATAAGTAGTTGATCACCAATCCCAAGGACAGATATTTACGATAAAAAATAGCTGCTAGGACAAAAATTTAAAGTTACATTATCGGATACCAACCACAAAGTACTAGAAGAGATTTATGATAAAAAAAAAAAAGAAGAGATACAGACAAAAAATTTATAGTTATAGTATTTAATGTCAATTCCAAGGTATGGGAAGAAATTTGATAAAAGAACAATTAGTTACTAAATCTGGCATCAATTGGAATGGATTTACTATAAACAAAAAGCTGTGTAACAAAATAAGAAATTATGATATCTGACGCTAACCCCAAAGTATGATAAGAAAAACAAGGCACTGGTATCAAAATTTACAATTATGGAATATATATCTTATCTGAGAACCTGTTTTTACCTGTGATCATATGTATTATTCCAAAAAATATGCATTTTGCCCCAATTTAGCCACTTTTAGAGATTTTTAAAGATTTTTAAATCGTTTTTTGTCATATATTACAAAATTCTAAACAATTATCGTGGTAGCAGCTAAGTGCCATTGTTAGAGTTCCATTCTTGAATTTTGTATCATCTGGTATATTGTATCAAATCTTGTATGTTTATGCAGAATAGTATATACCGTTCAATTATTAATCTTGTTTGGCTGGTCTGGCCCAAGATTTGGCACTGGTAGATTGGTCAAGTTGTATTTTATTATATATTTATGCAACAAAACTATTAAATTAATAGGCCAGACCTATTTTACCAGGATCCTTCAACTATTGATTTGTTGCTCATGATTTGACTAGCCTTTGAATATATGTAATAATATGAAATTCATGCTTAAATCGAGATGTTCAGAAACCACAAAAAACTTTTTTTTTTTTTTTTGTAAACTAATATTTATATATTCACATCATCATTATACCTGCAAATGAATTGATAAAGTTTTTTTTATTCTATTTTTTAATATTGAATTTACAGTAAATGCGAAATCTGGTAGTTTAATTATTTGGCAATTACTTCTCAGGTTTTTTTTATTTGTATTTTTGAGGTTATTTATATTCTTGAGCTTGAGTAAATATTGGACCCGTTAAGAAAGTTTCACTAAGGATCTGCAAATTCAGCATATGCCCATGTCTAACAAAAGGCACAGTCATGGGTGCAGATACAAATATCTGGCAT